AAGCAACCCTTCTCCTTTGCTTCAAATCTCCTGGGTTGTGGTTTAAGACCGAACCAGAAGTGAGATCCATCATCATCTCGCAATCTCACAGCAAATACAAGTCTTTCCAAAGCCAAAGAACGATTTCATCCACAAACCTCAATGAACTCTGGAGGATCCTCAAGGGCAGATTTTCACAGTGGGGCATCCGGGGCCATCGAGGCAATTCCAAGGGTCATTCCTGGCCTGGGCAAGGTGGGGGTGCATCGTTGATGGATTTTAAGGTGGCTTAGATTGATGGCATATCAGTAGAGGCAGAGTACAGCAAGAGTTTCACTGTTTTGCTTTGACTGAAACCATGACAGGAGTTTTTCCAGGGCTTCAAGTGATTCCCACGAACTGCTTCAGGTTCATGAGGGATTTTCTCGAGCCTACGACTCCGTGGATGCCCCAGGAATCGTTCCAGGCCATAACTATTGTGTTTGGGGCTCAAGTAGAGTACCTTCATGACCTACAAAATTATATATATATATATATACGGATGGGGCCCTAGGTTCTCCGATAGATGATAGGTGTTGATGATCAAATATGTGAAACATGTGCGTTTCGCCATAGCGAAACTAGCATTTTGACATGAAGCATTGTTATGTGGAATTGGGCATCAAAACGGATGAAAAAAATCTCGTCCGTTTTGAGCGCTTACAAAGTTGTGATTTACTTGATATGGGTTAGGAGGGTATAGTTGTAAATCTCCCTATAAACACAGCACAGATACGTTGCGATGGTATGCAACATTTGTTGAAAGATGTCATTTTACCCTGCGTTTTTACAAGCGAAATAAAGGGAGCCTTATTTTACATCGTATTTGCAGTACATTTGAATGTTGCTTGAAAGTGAGGAACCCTGACAGTCAGCATGTTTTTTTTTTAATCTTTCGTGCATGTGTTTTCATTGTATTTTCCCAATCGAAACTCATGTGTGGTTAATTTTTCATGGTATTTCCCATATGGATTCAAGATATTGTTTTTGTTTTGACATCTGTGCTCATGACGAGGTTTTTTCTTGGTAATTTATGATATGATCAATGATATTGTTAATGATCACTCACTGTAAGAAGGCATGTAGCTAGTTTTGTTCATAGTCATGGATCATCATTGTTCACTATTATACACTGACCATGGAGCATGAACCACCGATTACTTGTCTCAATCCAAGTCACTCCTATAAATCATGATCAAGTAAGCGTTAACTTCTTCTGTTATCACCATTGAACATTATCAGCGTAACATGAGCGTTAACATCCCACCCCACCCCACCCCAACCCCAACGAGCAGCGTAACATCATCAGCGTAACATGAACGTTAACATCCCACCCCACCCCACCCCAACCCCAACGAGCAGCGTAACATCATCAGCGTAACATGAACGTTAACATCCCACCCCACCCCACCCCAAGCCCAACGAGCAGCGTAACATCATCAGAGCGTGCGTAACATCCACCCCACCCCAACCCCACCGGGCAGCGTAACATCATCAGCGTACCATGAACGTTAACATCCCACCCCACCCCGCCCCAACCCCAGATGATCAGCGTAACATCATCAGCGTAACATGAACGTTAACATCCCACCCCACCCCTCCCCAACCCCAGATGATCAGCGTAACATCATCAGCGTAACATGAACGTTAACATCCCACCCCACCCCACCCCAACCCCAGATGATCAGCGTAACATCATCAGCGTAACATGAACGTTAACATCCCACCCCACCCCTCCCCAACCCCAGATGATCAGCGTAACATCATCAGCGTAACATGAACGTTAACATCCCACCCCACCCCTCCCCAACCCCAGATGATCAGCGTAACATCATCAGCGTAACATGAACGTTAACATCCCACCCCACCCCACCCCAACCCCAACGAGCAGCGTAACATCATCAGCGTAACATGAACGTTCACGAGCAGCGTAACATCATCAGCAGCGGAGCAACAACCGGTGTGCAGTCATCGGAGAACCTGGGTCCCCGAGGGTATATATATATAAATATGTATATATATATAGAGTCTATATAGTTGAATAGTTTAGCTACTAAGACTCACCAAGAAACATGTGCGCCCGGCAGCCCATTTTGGTTTCGTTACCATCCTCACACGACTGAGATCCGTGCTGCCCTTCATGCTGTCCTTGCACGTGGAGTGCGTGGAGACGGGCGTGGATGGGAGGCCCGGGAAGCAAAGACCCACGGTTTTTCTGGGTTAAGGGGAAACACACACACACAGGTTGCCAGGTTTTTTCTTAGCTTCGTGGCTTCGCTGCTGTCACTCCTGTCACTCCAGATCATCTTCACTGGGCATTCACTGGGTGGTGCTCTGGCAACGTTGAGCTCGGTGGACGTGGCTCAGACCATCCGCCCTGGGCTCAGAGGGGTGACTGACATGGAGAATCAATGGCAGACTGCTGTCAGTCTGAAGTGTACTATGGCTACTATGGTCTACTTATTTAATCTTCTTACTGTTACATTTTTGGGCATCCCACATCACTACACATATCCTGTGTTTGGGTGTAATGCCTGTCACCCTACTAGCATATCTACCAATGTATGTACCTGGCTGCCGCCTCGCAGTCCATTTCTCTGTCTCGTTCATATAGTGTTTTGATTCATTGAGCACACTATCGAACGTTGGTACCTTCGCGGACGTGGTTTAAATTTTGGTTACCAACGTGCCGACAGCATTCAGCATTTTGATCCTCTGTAATGATTCTGTCATTTTTTGGGGTGATGATAGAATTAACCCAAACCCTTTGTGACATCCATTCCTATCTGCCTAAAGCCAGGTGGTCTGCCAGCATCCTTTGGCCTCAAGGAGGAAGTTGGGCAAGTAGACAAGCTTTGCCCCTTGAGGAGGGGCATGTTGGATGACGGATGACGGACACGGCTGACTTTGATGCTTTCAAGAAGCCAAAGCCATGTCAGTTGTGGCATGGGTCATTAAATGTCCCCATTGAACATCACCCAACCATTAGGTATATGGTCTATAATGGCTACTATAAGGTGATGTCCCATATTCCCAAAATGGGACAGTTACCCACCCCTGTGTGGGATAGTGGAAGAATCGTGGTAGTTGTTGGGAAGCGGCGTTCGCGCTGAAATAAGCTGACCGAATGTCTGACTTTTTTCCCGCGCATTTGCACCAAATCTTTAGTAAGGGCATGCATGGGTCAAGTTGCGCCCTGTGCACGTTCCGGGAATGCGCAGACAAAGCATGAAGGTAGACTACGTTGGACATCTTCATTTCTACATTTTTTTTTGGGATAGTTTTGGGTCTTCAACCCATGGTTTCTTTCGGATATCTGCGCCGGAAAATCAAGCCAACGAACGGCAGGGGCTGTGAGATCGTGAATGTGACCTTTGGCGCTCCACGCGTGGGAAGTGCGCGCTTTTGCACAGCCTGCGACGAGTTTGTTGGGTGGCTCAGCTGGGGCTGAATATCAACATAAATCAACACGAAATAAATCTCAAATCCACTTCAAATCATCATGGTCTTATGAGAGTCCCCTGATTTTCTTCTATTTTAATATTAGTAAAACAATACATGTATAATATATATATAATATGTATATAGTCATAAAATATATGTAACGGTGTGTATGTGTATATGTATGTGTATATGTATGTGTGTATGTATATGCGTATGTGTAGGTGGATGGATGCATGAATCATGCCACATAGTTTCCCATGATGTGGGTTGGCTCCCACAGGTGCCACGCACTTGGCGTGTCTTCAGCACCTCCGATGTGGTGCCCACCGTGCCGCCCAAGTATCTCTGGGGTGCGCGGCAGCGCGGATGACCTCTAATTGCGTTAGTATCGCGGAAAACGTGGGCCATGGGAAAAGTATCCTAAAACTATGGTGTATGGTAGATATAACTATAGTTAATGGATATGAATGGGGTTTATAAACCAACAATCATAACTGGGGGCCCCATCCTGTATCCCAAAGCAGCGTTATTTCAGGTTAGAGAGTTGCTATAATTTACCCAGATGGATATGCAAAGCCCTGCTAAGCTGAAATTGGTCTGAGTCTATCTCAGCATTTTATGATCAGCATTTAAGGCTTATTTAAGGTTTTGTTTGTTTGGTTTATCCCATATATTGACGAATGGGTTAAGAGAGCTGGATGATTTTTCTCCCCTTTTGATGCTTGGTGAAGTTTGAGTTGCCGCGGCCACTTAGAAAGCGCAGGCTTTCTCCATGCTGGCATTGGCGTGGAGCTTGATCCCGAGAAGAATACCCTCACTGTCAGATCCTGAGGATCATCCACTGGGGTAACCGGGGTATCGGGCGAACTCTTTAATAATGGGATGGCCCGGGGTATCGGGTCCCAATAAGCAACTGATGCCTTCCATACTCGGACATCAGTTGGTCGAAAAGTTGATGCATTCCAAATCCAGTGGTTAATCATGATCATTATTCCAAATACAGTATATCCCAGATGAACATTTTGATTTTGGATCATTTTATCCACAGGTTGATCATATTCTTATTCCGCATGAACATAACCACGTTTTGGGCTACACTCCGGTAGTGTTTCATGGCAATGGAACACCCTTTGTAGAGGATTTTTTCATATTTTTTCCATCGAGGTGAGAGGTCGCACAGCAGATCTCAAGGAAGCGCTGGCAGAGGAGGAGGTGGGTCAGTTTTTTTTTTGATGGGGAATCCCCAAGTCACCATGGGTTTCAATACTAACATGGTCTGACTTGGGGTACTCCCATTTTAGGAAACCTCCATATGTAGTGTATATACATATACGTATATATATATATATAAGAGTTACTATGTATAATATACATACATACATACATACATACATACATACATACATACATACATACATACATACATACATACATACATACATACATACATACATACATACTACATACATACATACATACATACATACATACATACATACATACATACATACATACATACATACATACATACATACATACATACATACATACATACATACATACATACATATATATCTTATCTATAAATACGTATGTAGAAACATGTATACATGCATCTAAACAGTACACACAGGGTTTAGCTTTTGCAGTTCAACAGCATTTGCCAGAAATGTTTGGAAGATCCCAAGAGGACTGTATTGACGTGGCCAGGAAGAAGACAAGGCGAGGTTGGAAAGAGAAGCAGCAGGGGAGGTGCGGGTCATTCTTGTCGGGGATGGTCATCCATTGATGGTGGGATGAACATGGGAGTTTTTCGCCCAGGAGCCTGAAGGATCTTCGTTGATGTTGGCCTTTCAAGGCGGACAGATTAGGAGAACCTCGTTCTGCATTTCTTCGACATCACCTGGGGCCTCAGGTGATGTTTGGGCCTCCTTTAACGGCGATGAGTTGTCCGAGCTCAGGTCATGTTGCCGTCGCAATTCACAGCGACGTCATTGTGTCATGAGTTCTCTCATGTGTCCAATCTTTTTCAAGAAAACAATAAAACCCATTGGCTTATCATTTCTTATCCAGAAACGTTGATGCTTTTGATATGTCCAAATCTTTTGGAGGGTGCATTGCCCGTGAAGGCGTGTCCTGGGGACTGGCTCGCAGGCAGTTGGCGAGCATATGGAGGAGTAAACCAGGGTCACTGGATCGATGAGTAGCTGAGAAGCTAAATCCCATCAAAACTGTACAATGTACCTCATTATCCAATTTGGTTGGCTGCAGACCAGTCACTATACGAAATAGTTCTCCAGGCAAGTCAATGAGCCCTCTTTGAGCCCAGTCCAAGTGAAATCTTGAAAGCCTTGGCGTGCCAAGCAGGTTTGCCGGTTTGCCTGGGAAATCACCAGGACTTTGTTCTACCCCAAAAAAAAATTTCCGCGAGGACAACTACTTTGCAAGAATCACTGAATGCATCAGTGAGTCTGTGAGGGCAACGTGAGGGTAGTATCTCGCTGTCACGAGACAGCTCAGCAACTGAACAGCACAGGCGAGCAACAGCAGAGCTTGCCATTTCTTTCGGGCTCCGTGTCCAGGTTTTCAGCGCGGCAAAGCGTCGCTTCTTGGAATTGAAGACCGGTGCAAGAGTTTGATTGACAACCCTAATTCTCTAGTGGTTTGGGACCATAATTACAGCTCAGTGAAGAATGGGATACCTCCAGTTGACCCTTCTACCTGGGAAACCGCTGTGCTGCTGCCAGTCAAGACCTACCCCCGCCAAATGGTGGGGAAAGACCTTACTCCAAAGACCTTGAGATCGGAGAAAACGCAGATTGGCAGAAGGGAGCACTGAGGAAAGACCTAGTTTCTGAAAGTCAATTCAGTTGGGGAGCCTGGCAGCTGCGGACGAGGCAGAGACTTTTGCCATATCTCGCACATTTTTAGGGCCAAAACTTTGATGAAAATTGGGCCATGCGCAAGGTGCCACCGAGCCGTTCAGAAACTGTGCAAGCAGCAGGAAACTCAGCGGGTTTGGTTCATTCCAAACGCACACAATGCCCGGTTGATTCCCGGTGGTTTGATGGTGAAACATGAAGTTTTGCTCACTTGTTTCATCGCGACTATTCTAGCCCAATGTGAATATATGTGAATCACCCCTTCAACCAACTCTTTGAACGATGTCTTTGAAGAAGGATGCAGTCTGATGCTGTGTGACGGCTGTAGTTGACACCTGGATTCCCTGTGGTATCAGCCAACCTGACATGGGAATCACATTGCTTAGTAGGAAGAAGGTTGATTCCCTGTGGCTTTGACCCAGTGCTGCAGCCCAGCAATCTAGGTGTTTGTAGGATAGATCTTCCAGTTGAACTGACAATTCCTGTTGTTTCATCACTGAGGAAGCCGAGCTCAGCAGTGGGGTGAGATTTGCAGAGGTGCATTTCTTTTGTGGGGATGAGTTGCAAGGAGCTGCTGCTTCGTGGCAGCTTTTTCCATGTTCTTCCAGGTTTTTTCCAGCCCAAATTTCAAAGGCAGAGAATCCTCTCAGTTCAGCTGCCAGGATTTGATCCTGACCTAGATCAAATTCTCAAAAAGGGCCAGCGCTTTGTGAAAGATACCTTCCAGATACCTTCCAGATCCCTAGAGTCCTAGAGAAAACACCCATGGCCATGCCTCCGATGCAGGCACTCCCTCCGACGCAGGATGAAAGAGAAGCTCCGACCTGGCCGGGCGCCGCAGAAGATTGGGGGTAGAAGGGAGACTGGATGGGGGTTGAATGGGTTTTGTGGATGTTTATGATGGATGCAATGGGTCATAAGTCATAAGGTATTTACTGGTATAGTTGTAGGTGTCACAAGCCCATTAATAACGTGGTGGTGGTCGATCATTGTACCAAAGCCGATCTTTTCAGGAGTTAGTTTGATCAGTATGCGATCGAGGGTGTGCTAGAAACAGCACCAGAGTGGAGGCAACAAGTCCATTACAAGTCCGATATTCGGACAGCCTCCAATGAATCATGCAGCTGCGACGATTGCCCCAGAACAACCCCAGTTGAGGAGTAGCCTATCTGCGGAGGATCGACAGCGCTTCGGACTGGAAGGTGGCATGTTGGGGATTAAAAACCGAATTCTTGGACAGTGTGTGAAGGAGATTTCCAGAAGGAGTTATGTTATATATTATATTTATTATGTATGTATATATATATTATATTATATTATGTTATATTATATTATATTATATTATATTGTATTATATTATATTATAGTATATTATAGTATATTATATTGTATTGTATTGTATTATATTAGACTATATTATATTGTATTATAGTATATTATAGTATATTATATTGTATTGTATTGTATTATATTATGAGCTGTTATGAGTGGCTGCTTTGATTCCATCATAAAATCGAGGGGAAGGCATTATGGGTGATCCCAACCAGCTGACTCTGACAGGTGTAACTGGAACATCCTCGTGCCTTGGAGAAAAAGGGTTCAAGGGGTGCGAACAGCAGGCTGCAAGACACTGCAAGCTGGATTGGATAAGGTCAGTTTGAGAGACTCTTTGGGTCATCCATGCTTGTGCTGACATTCTGGGATCGAAGTTGTAAGAGTAAAAAGCAGAGTGCAGTAATAGGTGCTGCAGAAGCGAAGAAAAGGGGGATATGTTGGTTACAATGTGCCTTGGTCAAAATAACAATCCCATGCCACCTGGCCAGTCTAATAGCTATAAAGGGGTCTGCTTTTAACTGCTACAGGGTTTCTTAATGTGGTAACTTGGGCTTTATTCTGGTATACTATTGGCTATTGGCCAGAACCCATCCATATACATGGATTACACCAATAATATATGATACAACATATGTATATATCTATATATGTATATATACATATATACATACATATATATATATACATATATACATACATATATATATATACATATATACATATATATATATATACATAATAATACATAAGATACTTCGTTGTACATCATAAACCATCTTACGATGAACATCCGTCCGCCAGTGATTCTTTGAGGTCTTCCCGTCGTGCCGAAAGAGCCGGTGAGGCTGTGGGTCGCGGAGATGTTGGGTACCCGCAAAACACGGGGTGAATGTATGGTTTCATCCAGAAACAAACGTTTTAAACATGTATTAAAAACAGGGCGAATTCGTTTTTTACAGATTAATCAACACTAAACAACAGTTGTTGTTGTTTTTTTTCAAAGATATTTTAGGATGAGACCGACAGTGAATGAGTGGAGATACCCAACAAACCACTTAGAAGTGTTTGCTATTTGGCTGCTTGCAGCAAAAATAGCAATCAGGCGATTTGATTCACAAAGATTGAAATTTTTGGCCACCTCAAAAACCCAGTGGTTTCCATCATTTATATACTCTAAATGCACCATGAACATGCTGGAGCTAGGATTTTGCGTGCATCCCAGTTTTGGACCACACAAAACTCTATGACTATATGGGATCTCTGGGTTTTGGCTTTGAACTTGAGTGTGGGATTTGAGGATCCACATGTGTTTTGGTCCAGGATGAAAGTCCAAGACAAGAATAGATCTCAAACACAGGGACCACGTGGCGCACTCACAGACAAGTAAAGGAACAGAAATATATGATCCCATTACCCCATATATGACATCCCCTTTAATGGGTCCCCCAAAATGAATAGGATCCAACACTGCCTTTTCTTTTGAAGTCTTGAAGAATATAATCCCTGCCTCCTAGTACTCGTATCAAATACCCCCTTGACCTTGGTTTTTAGCATTGGATCTATATATCTAGCGGGCCCAAACAAGAGGATACTGCCCAGCTTGCTCAGCCCCTGAGGCCAGCCTGGGTCGTTTGAGCCATCCAGATGTGTTGTGGCTCGCTTCTCAGCCAGAAGATCACACCTTTGGCCTTTGGTTGAAAATTGAACAAAAGTGCCAAGGACACACAGATTTCGGCCACTTCAGGATCGAACCGTCGATTTTTTTTAATGCTTAATCACTTGACCTAATCCCATTTCTGCAGATGAAGATCTGGTGCAAAAAAGGGGCTAACTTCTGCCGGCCTGTCGCAAGATCGAAGGCTTACCCAGCAACAACTCGAACACTAGCTGGAACACCAGCTAGAATTTGTATATGACATCAGAAAACTGGATAAAACTGGGACATTTTTCTTCCTACTTTGGATATCACTGGAAACCATCGGAAAACTTATTGGACGATCTCCAGGGGCAATGCTGGAACACCTGGACCACCTTCGATGGCCAAGACGATGGCGCAGTTGGAGGCGCCAATCGCAGGTGCTTGGGAAATCATTATGTAATTGATAATGGTTTATACAAATGGTTTAATATATATATATATACATAATGGATTATCCAAATGGGAATACAAATGGATTATATATATATATAAAATGGTTCAATATATAATGATTATCTGACAATATAATTGCGAAATACAAATGGATTAGTTGATAATGATTTAAGGGTAGTTATAATCATTACAATTCCAATCAATACCAATCATACTAATCTAGCCAACCTGATGGATTCATATGGTAATGCCATAAACCAGCTCACCATAAATGGGTGGTACAAATCATCCCCTAAATGGTAGGTTTGTGATTGGGTTGCCCACATTAATGAGTATACCAATGATTATAACATGATTTAATGATTACTATAGTATGGTTTGACGTGGTTCAATGATAATTGTACCCCTATTTGGCTGGTATGGTTAAATATATCATAAAGATAATGCTTATTACAATGGTTACTGTATTCGGATGTTTACATAGTGATTGGCCATATGAATGGGGAATTCATGAATGAACAGATAAATCTGGGATACAATGGAATATCATGGGGATTTACCAAAAATACACCATTTATCAATCATGGAAACATGGAATGATTATACTGATCTGTATTTTGTTCGCATATAATGCAATTAAGTCCTCATTTGTCATTGATTCAACTCCATTCACTATTGACTTAGCCAAATGAATGGGGAGAATTATGATTTGAACAATCATATAGCATGGACTATAGCTAGGATTTGGGCTGGTGAAATACTATGATTCATCCAGATAGCTGATCGTTGGTAATCAACAAAGAGCAAGGAATGAATTTGATGAAATCTCCAACAGATTGCTGGGTGGCATATATCTCCATTGGTTTATCCATTCAAGAATGTGGATTGGAATAGATCATGGAATGGAAATCAGGACAGAACTTATATACAACTTATTAGTGATTCATTCATAGTTTACTCGCCCCTAAAAAGGGGGATAATTGACCATCAAATGGGAATAGAACCGAGATTGCCTGGAGGTGGTTTAACATTTGAAGGGCACTTGAGGCAAATCCAATAGTTACAATGGGTTTCTGGTATCCCATTCCCCAAATTGTTGATGAGTGCGATACAAAAGAATCACGACCTCTCTTTGACCTGACCAGAAACAATGGGCTCACTTCAGAGTTGGGAGCTTGTCGAGATGTTTGGATGCTTGAAGTTTCCTGGTGTCAGGCAGTGGGAATGTCGTCAAACCTCATGCAGCTGGAGGAGCATCAGCCAAGCAACGGCTGGTAGTGAAACAGGATGCTTTACTAGACTACATGGAAGATGGGAATCGTAACCAACCAGTGGAGGGTGAACAACGGGCAACGCTCCATGATGATTCGATGGCCCAGGAGAGTGAGAGGAAGCTGCAACGACTGAAGCTCGCCGGATGAAAAAGCAGCCCTTACCTTCAAAACTCCTTTCCCATGGGAAAGCATGCGTGCAGCATGCATGTCTTATTCTGCACTTGCTCGTGATGTTGCAGTCCATTGTAACCAAGCATTCTTCTCCTGTGAATTCTGGATTTAGTTTGGAATATGATAAGAAGAAAAGTCTTGCAAAACCATTTGCCATCTAGCCAGAAGCATCCAGCGTGACTTCAAACGAAGTCATGCAATGCAGCTTTTGGGGACAGCCCTGGAAGCTTCAAGACTTGTGAACAGATCTGAAGGTGAATCCTAGTTGGTTTATGTACCAATTCAGGCCTTTCATATTTTCTATCTCAACAGTCCTGGTTTCAATGGATTGGTTTAACGGAAAATTTACAGGAAACCATAGATTTTCCCATTAAATATGGGGTTTTCCTGTAAATTTTCCATTAATCCAATCCATTGATGGTTAGGATGATCTTCACAGGTCTTGATCGTCTCTCTTCATACGATACCTGCGCAGCGCTTCCCCGCTGCGTCTCGCGTTGAACGTATGACCGCTTCCCGGCTGTCCAAAATCAGAGATTCAATCGGCAAATTCCTGGGGATACAATAACCAAGCATGATAGGGATATTATATATACACACATGTATGTGCATATATATATATATACACACACATACATGTATGTATATACACATATACATGTACATAATGGGATATATCAGCAAACGATACGACTTGGGTTTCCCCAAGACCTGGGAATGGGGAAGATCTGGTGCAGATGTGGACTGGGCTTGATACACTGACGGACGGCAAAGCAGTGGCCCACTGGGTGCAGGAAAAACCCTCAACCCCCATAATATTCGATACCCCTCATGTGGAACCCCAAAATTCATAGGGTCACTACTATACTAAACCAGGATTTTGTTTGGGAGGTAATAAAAATATCAATATTAGAGGATATTGGAGGAATGGGACGATGGGATTTTCCTGTGCATGGCCTGAATAGCTGAACTTTTGGGATGTCTAGTTGTCTCGGTTCAAACACTGGTAGATTTGCCGCCAGTGTTTGATGGTGGAATCGCAGGCCCAAGCGGCAGCATGCGGCAGCGCTAAGTGCAGCGTTTGAGTATTGCCCCAAAGCCAGAACTTGCTGGAAGAAAGCAAGTCAGACTTAGTTGTTCTCTGCATTTCCTACAAATATATCACACATATATATATATACACATATATATATATATACATACATATATATATATACATATAATATATATATATTTACATACAGAACTACAAATAGATTGCAATCAGCAAGATCCTTTCGACAGATTTTTCATTGACTTCGAACAAGTAGGTCATGCTTATGTTGAATGGTGCAGCTTGGCTCAAGCCAAGTTTTTCACCCTGTGATAGTTTGATTTGGGTTTGAAAATAGGTTATATACCCCAAATCCAGAGGTTTAGTTTAGACCAACAGACCAACATTTCCGAATGCAAAAAAAAATCCATAATAACTTGCCATGAACTGGAGAAACAACAGAACAACTTGCCATAAGCGTAAGCTAAGGTGGGGGTATCCCCCCCTTTTTTACGCACACCCGTCACTCCGATGTCGAAGATCTCAAGGATCCTGCGGAGGATCACATCAAATGGCTCCGAGGATAGCGCTTCGTTGATGTCTGATGCAGAGACCTTGGATGAGGCACACTGGCATACCAGCCACTTGGAGCACTTTGATCCTCATCCCCCGATGAAACCACCACAAGAAACCATGGTTTTCTCCCCAGGGGATTTAGATATTTCTTTGGGACCGTTGAAGTTTAGGAGGTGTTTTTCATAAAAAAGGATGGGATGAATCCTGTGGATGATCTCCACTGCAATGTCATGGTAATTTCAAAACCAACAAACTGGGGCATTCATCAGCAAAAGTGGGGCAGGGATTATGAACTAGTGCAATAAGGCCCAACATGTGGACCTCGATCGCCAAAATTGGTAGGTTTGGGGACAACAGATTCAGATGAACCGGGCACTGCTCACATGGTAAGCCTAAAACTTTCCTAGTGATCAAAGCGTTCCAAGTTGGCGTGACTCAGCTCACGACAGCTGTAGAATTGGTGCACAGGGCAGCTGGATCCTGCAGATGCAGACATCTACCTGGATGCCCTATGGGGCCCCCTATACTTCAAGGATGAACGCGTGCGACAAGAAGGAGATCCCATTCCTCGATGGTCGGACTACAGAATGGTCGGCCTATTCTTGATTCTGAACCTGGCTTTGCAACTTGGTATCGCTTTCAAGATCTATCAGCTTTCGGAGTCTGGAGACCTTGAAACGGCACTATTCGATAGTGCCTGCTGGAGAGTATCCTCAAGGCCTGGTTTGCTTGGCGTCTCTTGGTGTTCATATTTGTGAAGAGAAACCGTCACATCTAGCAAGATGTGTCCTTGAACAACATAGAATGTCAACCTTGGAATTAACACACCCCTGGTTGTCTTGGTTTGATCGGCGGGTCCGTCTTGATCAGAGTATTCACTGTTTTTTTGATAGCAGGGATAGCCAGGATAATCGGATAGTCTTGCCATGCCTTGCCCAAGCTCAGGTTCTATACCCGCAGTCCATGGCAGACTCCAGCGAGTTTGATTGTCTGGATCCAATACTCACTCTGTCAATGATTCCAAGCAAGCTTGACCTTGACCAAAATGGCTACTGGAGCATTGATGAAGCTGCAAGTCTCGGACGCACACTGAAGGATAAGGGCAGTCAGATGACAAACTTTTCAGCTGTGCTGATTCGGATGGCCAAGTACGACTTCAAGAATCGGATTGGCTCAAAGAGTGCGTTTAAGCAGATGCAGCATGTGGATATGGATTTCTTCAAGCACTTCCGTGGCAACATTGAAATGTGCCTGCCCATCGATCCCAACCTATGTGGAAATCTGGAGGCTCGAGGTCGTTTGTCCGGCATCCTTCCGGAAATGGATGCCGAAGAGCGGGTCCAGGCATGTCGAGACAACTTCGATTCATTCTGTAACTGGCTGGTGGTTTCAAATGACCTTTCGAAAAAATCAAACATGCCACCCGGAAATCCCCGAACCAAACGGCGGTTCTAGCGGACAGGTTTTCTATCAATGGGGGATTTTCCATTGCCATGTTTGATTACTGTAAGTTATTGATGTATGTATATAATAATACAGACATATATATATATTATGTATATTATATATAATATATTATATATTATATATTATATATAATATAATATAATATAATTTAGATATAATTTAGATATAATTTATAAATAAATATATATATATATATGTATGTATGTATACCTATTTTCTGTTTTCCATCCTGGAATGATGATCTCAAGACAGACGAAACTTCAATTCTGCGATTTCGGCCCGGCGCATCGGCGCAGCATCGGCGCAGCCAGGTAAAAGATTATACGGGGAAGACTATGAGTGGATTCATCATGCAAGCTCTCAATACTGTGGCGAGTCCACCCTGGAGCGAAAGGACAGTGTCAATGTCGTCACCTACGACGCGGTTTCCATCTACAAGGGGCAGCCAGATTCCATCGTGGGGACAACCTTTATGTCCTTCCTGGTTTTGCTGCTCTTCATTTGGGGTATGCTATTGATCGAGGAATTTCGAGCCATCTACAATTTGATGTATGTCATATGGTATGTCCCAAGCATCGAGGATTCCAACGCCACCTTTGCATCCATTGACGATGGCAAATTATTCGTGCGGAGGCAGGGCCTGCAGGGGTTCAGATTGGGAATCCACTGACGCGACAAAAATTGACTGATGATTGGCTTTGTGGGCCCCATTTGAACCCTGAGGCTGCCCAAAGTGCACAAATTCTTCGCCATTTTTTGCATCGGACTTCCCCGGCTGGTGATTGCTGGAGTGATTCTGGTAGTCGGAGCTTTCTTCCTCACGGCCACCAACAATTTGCAGGATTTGGTGTTGAACAGTACGGCCCCTTGGTGATGACAAGCTTCGGTTGTGGCCTTTGAGCATTGTTTCATAGCTTCAAGCCTCTCATGTGTGGCAAGTAACCAGTGCTGTAAGTGACTCGAGCCTGAACACGCACTGTAGGTGATCCTGCAAGTGATTTACTTCTAAAGTGAGTCCATCTAAAACTTGGGGACTCCCAAATCCAGAATTTACCAAGCTAGACTATGTAGCTATTGTCAATGAGCAGGACAACCAATGGCTGGGATGTATGGCTGGAAAGCCTTCACCTTTATTTCTCTGCAAATCTAGTAGAACCATGTAGAATTCATTAGAATTCTGTAGATGAATATCGTCAATCAATGATGTGGATGATATTCACATTATGTTTAATCTGTTTTCAGAGTCAGAGCCCAGTTACATGCGCGGAACATCAAGGCCCTGTGCTTTCTGATAGAAGTGGACAACATGATCCATGCAGCATTCCTGGGGGAAGCCTTCCAGAAACGGGTGACGGACAATTGCGATGTCATCCAAGTCGAAACATCTGCACGGGGCGCTTGGCAGTCCTATGTCTTTTTGGCTGTGGTATTGATGCTTGGCCCGATCTGTAAAAAAAAAAAAAATATATATCTGTCCCAGCCGATGAACACACGCACACACACTGGTCTACACTGGTCTACACTGGTCTTGTGAATGTCATTTCTGCACCTTCTTTCTCTTCCTGTTCTTCTTGTTGCCATGGCGATCCCGGAGTCTCCACCCGCTGTCGATGAGGGGAGCAATCTTCCGATGAAATGTGAGGAATATCAGTAGTTCGGGGAGATGAAATGATTGGAATGATCAGCTTCAGAATTCAGACGTATGGATGTATATATTATATATATACATAATTATGTACATGATATATATATAAATACATGTTGTCAAGAATGGTTTCACTTGGAACGTTCCAAAATGGAACTTTCCAAAGTGTCCCGCTGAGGGCAACTACAGCAGGCTGGACTGCCTGGTCGTACTTCCATCCCAGGCTGGGACCCAATATTACCCATCCAACATTTTGGGGATTTACCCTCTGGTGAACTAACATAGCAATGGAAAATGGCCATTTATAGTGGATTTTCCCATGAAAAATGGTGATTTTCCATTGTTGTGTTAGTTCACCAGAGGGTAATGGGAAGAATGGTGTTTTTTTCGCCATTAGACATTCACAAAATGGGGATTTCGTGGGAACACTTGGGATTTAGCCTTATGAGTTCGATGATTTATCACACATCGCGGTTTTCCATAGCTTTTTTTAAAGTTACCAGAGGGTAAATCCCATGAAACATCCCATAAAGTCACCATCATCCCAAACGTTAATCCCAGAAAAGCCTCGTTTTTCCAGGGGGTTGCTGGCCATCGGAATGGGCGTCGAATGTCTCTGCCACTTTGACGGCAACTGCTTTGGCAAGACCTTGCTGTCGCTGTGATGCGGGCGCAACGAAAGCCGCCTGGTGCGCCCCGAGGAGACAACCAGTTGCCAGTCTGAAAATGGGTATACATATATATATATATATACATATATATATGTATATGATATGCCATTATTCATATATATATAATTTATATATATATATCATTACATATATATATACATACAGTATTTATTTATGTAATATATATATATATAATATATATATATATATCCCCAATTTATGGTCTGTTTTCCATGGGTAACATGATGAAAAGAACCGGATTTTGGGCACGCACTTTTCAGACAAACCCCTGTTTGTTCAGGCAGACGGGAACTACCTGCTCTGAAACCCGGCTACCGGATCAGCCACGCCTTTGTGCCATTCTGCTCAGCCGGTTGCGGGTGGTTGATCCCATTGTGAAAAATCATCGTAGCTGATTCAAAGTCTAGCTGATGAAAGTCTAGTTGACATATGTTGAAATGACATCTACTCATCTACTCGCTTGAGAAGTGATGCTGTCTTTTGGTTCTGGATAAGTTATTTTTGGCACACGAGAAGCTGCAACCCATCACCAAATATCAGCATTCCACAGAGCTGCTTTCTAACCTTTTCAGTGTCCCTTGAAACAGTGAAACCAGGGTTTTGCTGATCCTGTCTCATTGCAGCGGTTTTGTTGGCTCCTTGGACTAAGTCCGTAAAAGAAAACAGGTGACCGCACACATGTACTCGTCTAACCGCACGACAAAGTGATAGGCCGGGCCCCGGGCCAGCAGCTCCTCTGAGGCTGGAGAAGGGGTAGCACGGGTAGCCTCCTGGAGTCGTCTCCAGTGCTTTGGAACAATCATGAACATTCGAAGGCAGCTCCAACCTTGGTCGTGGTGACAAGTCTCATGGGGGCCCCAAAACAATTCCCGAACATAGCGACCATGGGCTCATGACATCTCGTGGCATCTGCCATGTCAGGAAACCTGACAAGTGCAACGCTGCGATGTCGGGAAGGCCGAATTCTTGACCTTCGCATGATGTGCAGCCCTGAACGTGCTGGGATTCTCAAGTAATTCTGCCACAGTATCACAGGAAGCATTCATTTTTCCGTGTCGGTGCGAAGGAGATTTCTATTCGAAGGCAATTTTGTTTTTTCCAAGCCAGAGAGTCAGCGTTGTACTTTCTCCAGCCAAAGCAATGGCCAACCCAGCTTTGACCGACGATGCCGTGAGCCCAGGCGCAGTTGCTTGGGTCTTGACCTCAACCGCATTCGTGTTCTTGATGACGGCAGGGCTTGGCTTCTTCTATGGTGGCCTGGTGCGTGACACCAACATCATCAACACCATGATGATGAGCGTGGTCTCCATGGGAATCGTCACATTGACTTGGATGGTGTTTGGCTTTTCATGGGCCTTCGGTGACAATGGTTCCACCGGATTCAGCATGTTCGTTGGCAACTTTGACTACAGTCTGTGGATGGGTCTGGACATGAAGATGTGGGGCGACTCTGGTCTTCCAGGTCTTGTGTTCGCTGCCTTCCAGATGACCTTTGCCATCATTTCTTCTGCAATCATTTCCGGCTCGTTGGTGGAGCGTATGCGTTTCAGTGCTTACTGCATCATGCTTGCTCTGTGGTCCCTTCTGATCTACGCACCTTTGTGCCACTGGGTTTGGGGCCCTGGCGGCTGGATTGGTGAGATGGGAGCTCTGGACTTCGCCGGTGGAACTGTGGTTCACATCAGCTCCGGTGTGTCCGGCCTTGTTGCCGGTGGCATCCTTGGACCACGCAGGCACGTGGAGAAGGATTTGGGCCCTGCCAACGTCCCTTTCGTGATCTTGGGTGGCTGCCTCCTTTGGTTCGGCTGGTTGGGATTCAACGGCGGTTCTGCTCTGTCCGTCACAGATGGAGTGGCAGCCCGTGCGGTGGCCACCACTTTTGTGGCTTCAGCCTCATCCATGCTGACATGGCTGGCCTTTGAGCGAGTCTTGAAGGGCAAGGCTACCAGTGTCGGTGCATCTGTTGGTGCTGTTGCAGGCAAGGTGTGGTGGTGGCAGGATGTTTTTCATGGATTTTGAATCGTTTTCACGGATCCTCAATTTCACTGTCGTCTAAAGGCAAATGCCACACAATGTCCAAAATTGGACCATGTTGTACTTGCGATGAGGGTGTTTTGATGTGTTCTTCTTGAGCTGATTGTGCAATTTTGCAAATGTGTCAGCAGCGTTTCAGAAGACTTTGTAGGTTCACAGAAGTTCCCAGTACAGGAAGTCCTTGTGAAATGAAGCATCCAGGTTTGGTGTGCATCACACCTGCAGCCGGATTTGTGACACCCGGCTGGAGCATTGCCATCGGTGCCTTGAGAGCTCCTTGGTGTTTCGCCACTGTGGAGCTGATGAATCGGATCAACTTGGTGGATGACACTCTTGATGCGTTCGGCCTGCATGGTTCGGGTGGCATCGCAGGTGCCATCTTGACCGGCATTTTTGCAGTGGAAGATGGCCTCCTCTACAGCGGTAGCTTTGAGCTGCTGGGCAAGCAGATTGCCGGTGCCATGGCTGGCGTAGCTTTCTCTGCTGTGGGCACTGCCATCATTGTCGGAGTCATGAAGCTGCTGCTGAAGCTGCGCATTCCAGAGGACCAAGAGGCTGGTGGTGTTGATCAGCACACTCACGGTGAGAGCTACCACAGCCCCGTGAAGCAGTACCCCAAGGCTTCAGACATGTCCGAGCAAACCTCTGACACCGTCTGAAGTCACTCCACTTGTCAATTTTCGCTTCCTTAACCACTCTGGCTGAATTCGTGCCTGTTCACAAGGATGAACAGAGTTCCGATTTGCGTGTTCCTGCATAGATAGAGCATTTCTGCATCCTATCCTGTCCTATCTACACTAGGACTGCAGAGAAGCTCTCAGCACTGGCGCTTAGCCAACTGCTTCATTGCAAAACGAGGTTTCTCCATACAGGTTCCCTTGCAACTATTTGGAACAATTTTGGAACACATATCAGGGTCAAATTTGGCACCCGAGAGACCTCTTATAGAGATTCCTGAGGACGTTTGGAGAGCGTCCGGCCGGTTGGAGACCGTTTGCCAGGCACAACTCATGAGCCACGCTCGACGCGACTAGCCAAGAAGAGCTCTGTCGCCAAAGAATGCCAAAGATCAGATCGCACAAATTGAAAATAGTTGGGCTTCATATGGCTTTATGATGCTTCATGGCTGTCAGGACTTTCTTGACATTCAATGCTCTGTGACCCTTCAAGTTGTAAAGTAATTCATCCTCGAGCAGCGCTTTTAAGTTGAGCCAGTGTGTTTGGTTCGAGTTTCTTTCATACAGGTCAAGTGGAATGACAGTCTGAAGGACGCATGCACGATGGTTCGCCATGCTTCGGCAGGTCACTACAATTCTGCTGGTCCAAGATGGCGTTTCTCCAGGCAGCTCCGATCATTGGGTTGCATCCAGGAACAGTTTGACAGCCACAGAATCCCGGAAGCCGAGCTTTGGATTTCAGTTGCAAACTTCTGATTCAAAGTCGTTTGCATTGAATGAAGTAGAGGATGCAAGTCTTTATGTGAATATTCTTCCTTTTGCCATGTTACATGCCATGTCAGTGCACAAACAGTGTCTTTTCGAAGGCATTTTTTTTTTTCAAGCCAGAACGTCAGCGTTGTACTTTCTCCAGCCAAAGCAATGGCCAACCCAGCTTTGACCGACGATGCCGTGAGCCCAGGCGCAGTTGCTTGGGTCTTAACCTCAACCGCATTCGTGTTCTTGATGACGGCAGGGCTTGGCTTCTTCTATGGTGGCCTGGTGCGTGACACCAACTTCACATCAGCTCCGGTGTGTCCGGCCTTGTTGCCGGTGGCATCCTTGGACCACGCAGGCACGTGGAGAAGGATTTGGGCCCTGCCAACGTCCCTTTCGTGATCTTGGGTGGCTGCCTCCTTTGGTTCGGCTGGTTGGGATTCAACGGCGGTTCTGCTCTGTCTGTCACAGATGGAGTGGCAGCCCGTGCGGTGGCCACCACTTTTGTGGCTTCGGCCTCATCCATGCTGACATGGCTGGCCTTTGAGCGAGTCTTGAAGGGCAAGGCTACCAGTGTCGGTGCATCTGTTGGTGCTGTTGCAGGCAAGGTGTGGTGGCAGGGATGTTTTTCATGGATTTTGAATCGTTTTCACAGATCCTCAATTTCACTGTCGTCTACTGGCAAATGCCACACAATGTCCAAAATTGGACCATGTTGTGGTTGCAATGAGGCTGTGGTTTGATGTGTTCTTCTTGAGCTGATTGTGCAATTTTGTAAATGTGTTCAGCAGCGTTTCAGAAGACTTTGTAGGTTTACAGAAGTTCCCAGTACAGGAAGTCCTTGTGAAATGAAGCATCCAGGTTTGGTGTGCATCACACCTGCAGCCGGATTTGTGACACCCGGCTGGAGCATTGCCATCGGTGCCTTGGGAGCTCCTTGGTGTTTCGCCACTGTGGAGCTGATGAATCGGATCAACTTGGTGGATGACACTCTTGATGCGTTCGGCCTGCATGGTTCGGGTGGCATCGCAGGTGCCATCTTGACCGGCATTTTTGCAGTGGAAGATGGCCTCATCTACAGCGGTAGCTTTGAGCTGCTGGGCAAGCAGATTGCCGGTGCCATGGCTGGCGTGGCTTTCTCTGCTGTGGGCACTGCCATCATTGTCGGAGTCATGAAGCTGCTGCTGAAGCTGCGCATTCCAGAGGACCAAGAGGCTGGTGGTGTTGATCAGCACACTCACGGCGAGAGCTACCACAGCCCCGTGAAGCAGTACCCCAAGGCTTCAGACATGTCCGAGCAAACCTCTGACACCGTCTGAAGTCACTCCACTTGTCAATTTTCGCTTCCTTAACCACTCTGGCTGAATTCGTGCCTGTTCACAATGATGAACAGAGTTCCGATTTGCGTGTTTCCGCATAGATAGAGCATTTCTGCAGTCCTATCATGTCCTATCCTGTCCTATCTACACTAGGACACTAGGACTGCAGAAAAGCTCTCAGCACTGGCGCTTAGCCAACTGCTTCATTGCAAAACGAGGTTTCTCCATACAGGTTCCCTTGGAACTATTTGGAACAATTTTGGAACACATATCATGGTCAAATTTCACACCCGAGAGACCTCTTATAGAGATTCCTGAGGACGTTTGGAGAGCGTCCGGCCGGTTGGAGACCGTTTGCCAGGCACAACTCATGAGCCACGCTCGACGCGACGAGCCAAGAAGAGCTCTGTCGCCAAAGAATGCCAAAGATCAGATCGCGCAAATTGAAAATAGTTGGGCTTCATGATGCTTCATGGCTGTCAGGATTTTCTTGAAATTCAACGTGCCGTGACCCTTCAAGCCGTAGATCAAAGCATACTCTAGCAGCGGTTTTCACTTTGAGCCGATGTGTTTGGTTCTAGGTGTGTCCTGTGTTTTGAAACTACGTATTTGTTTCTTTTATAAAGGTTAACTTGCATGACAGTTTGAAGGACGCAGGCACGATGGTTCGCCATGCTTCGACAGGTCACTACAATTCTGCTGGTCCAAGATGGCGTTTCTCTAGGCAGCTCCGATCATTGGGTTGCATCCAGGAACACCAGTTTGACAGCCACAGAATCCCGGAAGTCGAGCTTTGGATTTCAGTTGCAAACTTCTGATTCAAAGTCGTTTGCATTGAATGAAGTAGAGGATGCTTGCAAGTCTTTATGTGAATATTCTTCCTTTTGCCATGTTACATGCCATGTCAGTGCACAAACAGTGTCTTTTCGAAGGCATTTTTTTTTTCCAAGCCAGAGCGTCAGCGTTGTACTTTCTCGAGCCAAAGCAATGGCCAACCCAGCTTTGACCGACGATGCCGTGAGCCCAGGCGCAGTTGCTTGGGTCTTGACCTCAACGGCATTCGTGTTCTTGATGACGGCAGGGCTTGGCTTCTTCTATGGTGGCCTGGTGCGTGACACCAACATCATCAACACCATGATGATGAGCGTGGTCTCCATGGGAATCGTCACATTGACTTGGATGGTGTTTGGCTTTTCATGGGCCTTCGGTGACAATGGTTCCACCGGATTCGGCATGTTCATTGGCAACTTCGACTACAGTCTGTGGATGGGTCTGGACATGAAGATGTGGGGCGACTCTGGTCTTCCAGGTCTTGTGTTCGCTGCCTTCCAGATGACCTTTGCCATCATTTCTTCTGCAATCATTTCCGGCTCGTTGGTGGAGCGCATGCGTTTCAGTGCTTACTGCATCATGCTTGCTCTGTGGTCCCTTCTGATCTACGCACCTTTGTGCCACTGGGTTTGGGGCCCTGGCGGCTGGATTGGTGAGATGGGAGCTCTGGACTTTGCGGGTGGAACTGTGGTTCACATCAGCTCCGGTGTGTCCGGCCTTGTTGCCGGTGGCATCCTTGGACCACGCAGGCACGTGGAGAAGGATTTGGGCCCTGCCAACGTCCCTTTCGTGATCTTGGGTGGCTGCCTCCTTTGGTTCGGCTGGTTGGGATTCAACGGCGGTTCTGCTCTGTCCGTCACAGATGGAGTTGCAGCCCGTGCGGTGGCCACCACTTTTGTGGCTTCGGCCTCATCCATGCTGACATGGCTGGCCTTTGAGCGAGTCTTGAAGGGCAAGGCTACCAGTGTCGGTGCATCTGTTGGTGCTGTTGCAGGCAAGGTGTGGTGGTGGCAGGATGTTTTTCATGGATTTTGAATCGTTTTCACGGATCCTCAATTTCACTGTCGTCTAAAGGCAAATGCCACACAATGTCCAAAATTGGACCATGTTGTACTTGCGATGAGGGTGTTTTGATGTGTTCTTCTTGAGCTGATTGTGCAATTTTGCAAATGTGTCAGCAGCGTTTCAGAAGACTTTGTAGGTTCACAGAAGTTCCCAGTACAGGAAGTCCTTGTGAAATGAAGCATCCAGGTTTGGTGTGCATCACACCTGCAGCCGGATTTGTGACACCCGGCTGGAGCATTGCCATCGGTGCCTTGGGAGCTCCTTGGTGTTTCGCCACTGTGGAGCTGATGAATCGGATCAACTTGGTGGATGACACTCTTGATGCGTTCGGCCTGCATGGTTCGGGTGGCATTGCAGGTGCCATCTTGACCGGCATTTTTGCAGTGGAAGATGGCCTCATCTACAGCGGTAGCTTTGAGCTGCTGGGCAAGCAGATTGCCGGTGCCATGGCTGGCGTGGCTTTCTCTGCTGTGGGCACTGCCATCATTGTCGGAGTCATGAAGCTGCTGCTGAAGCTGCGCATTCCAGAGGACCAAGAGGCTGGTGGTGTTGATCAGCACACTCACGGTGAGAGCTACCACAGCCCCGTGAAGCAGTACCCCAAGGCTTCAGACATGTCCGAGCAAACCTCTGACACCGTCTGAAGTCACTCCACTTATCAATTTTCGCTTCTTAAACCACTCTGGCTGAATTCGTGCCTGTTCACAAGGATGAACAGAGTTCCGATTTGCGTGTTTCCGCATAGATAGAGCATTTCTGCAGTCCTATCATGTCCTATCCTGTCCTATCTACACTAGGACACTAGGACTGCAGAAAAGCTCTCAGCACGGGCGCTTAGCCAACTGCTTCATTGCAAAACGAGGTTTCTCCATACAGGTTCCCTTGGAACTATTTGGAACAATTTTGGAACACATATCATGGTCAAATTTGACACCCGAGAGACCTCTTATAGAGATTCCTGAGGACGTTTGGAGAGCGTTCGGCCGGTTGGAGACCGTTTGCCAGGGACAACTCATGAGCCACGCTCGACGCGACGAGCCAAGAAGAGCTCTGTCGCCAAAGAATGCCAAAGATCAGATCGCGCAAATTGAAAATAGTTGGGCTTCATGTGGCTTTATGATGCTTCATGGCTGTCAGGACTTTCTTGACATTCAATGCGCTGTGACCCTTCAAGTTGTAAAGTAATTCATCCTCGAGCAGCGCTTTTAAGTTGAGCCAGTGTGTTTGGTTCGAGTTTCTTTCATACAGGTCAAGTGGAATGATAGTCTGAAGGACGCATGCACGATGGTTCGCCATGCTTCGACAGGTCACTACAATTCTGCTGGTCCAAGATGGCGTTTCTCTAGGCAGCTCCGATCATTGGGTTGCATCCAGGAACACCAGTTTGACAGCCACAGAATCCCGGAAGTCGAGCTTTGGATTTCAGTTGCAAACTTCTGATTCAAAGTCGTTTGCATTGAATGAAGTAGAGGATGCAAGTCTTTAAGTGAATATTCTTCCTTTTGCCGTGTTACATGCCATGTCCGTGCACAAACAATGTCTTTTCGAAGGCAATTTTGTTCTTTCCAAGCCAGAGCGTCAGCGTTGTGCTTTCTCCAGCAGCCAAAGCAATGGCCAACCCAGTTTTGACCGAAGATGCCGTGACTGCAGCGGCAGTTGCCTGGTTCTTGACCTCAACAGCTTTCATGTCTGTTCACTATGAAGCGAGTTCCGATTTGAATATTTTCGCATAGAGAAAGTCGAGCAGCTGTTGCTTCAGTGGGAAGCTGTCCATGCAATGTGTTTCTGCGGGTCGGAGCAGCAGATGTGGGACCAGGGAGCTGAAGCTGTCATCCGACACCAAGCGGATCCGCAAATGGGGAACCAATGGCATGGGGATACGAAGGATATGAAGCCCTGGCATGATGAGCCAGGTTTCACTGCCTTAGTGTGCCCTACTACCAGGAGCATGTGTCACGGATGCTGAGTCACTGAGGACGTCACGACAGCAGGTCATCATGGAATTGTCCTGCTTTAGGAAGGAGCTAAAGGCAGAATCCTATTCGTTGTGTCAGCAATATGAGAGTCCGCAAGCCTGTGGGCTGCAAGAGTGGTATCACAAGCAAAGCGGATGGTTTACTTGTACTGATCCTCTCAAAGCTCATAGATACTTGATGACGGAACCGTCAACGAGCTGATCCACCAGCATCCACCAGCAATGGCCAAGAATCCATGGATTCAACGGAAAAAGTACAGGAAACAGGGGATATTAAATTTTACCATTATATAATTAAGTATTGACTGTGTAGAAGGTTCCTGTAAATTTTCCCTTCAAACAAGTTTTGGAGAGCAGGCCACTCAATTCAACCTTCGATGGATGCTTTGACGGAAACTTGCAAGCAGAGTAGCTTGGCCAATTGTGAGTGGATGACTGAGGATGAATTCTGACTTGGATGACCATCCATTTTGATCCATTTCCATCCTTTTGCACAGCATTCCTGCACTCCACGGCAGCATCTTGGCCCAAAGCAGGCCCAGGTGCTCCCATCATGTCGGCCATGCGAAGGCTGTCGCAAGCGGTGCAATTTTCTTTGACCAATGGTCCCGAGAGACGACGAGAGGAGAAACGCGGTAGTTTTGCCGCAGAAAATTCCAACATGAAACCTTGATTTTACTTATATATAACTTATATATACCCATGCATTGAGTTTGGCAGGCTTGGGTGTGCATGTATCATCTTTATGTGATCCAATGAATGCTTTCATTTTGGCTCAAGTAAACTTGAACCAAAATTGCATTCATTGCTTTTTCTTTCTTGGTCTTGGTAAGGGGTGACCTTCCTAGACCTTGATTGATTGGTTCTGGCAAGCAGCGAGTGATTGACAATGGCGACACGGGAGGACAATCAGCGTTGTCATCTGATGCCAACAAGCTCACATTGTGCAGCCCACTGCGCCCTGCACAGCATATCCGCCTGGTGATGCATCGTTGGGCCGATGAGGACATCGCAGATTTTCTCGCACACGATGCCTGGGAGACAGGCCAGGAGGACTTGCCTTCAGCATACAGGTACTGCCCTATGGCGCTGCAAGAAAGTCTGGGTTGCGTGGATGATTGAGTGGTTCACCGCATCAATAACCAGGGGTGACCTGGTTGGTTACAAGGGTCGTAAGGGGTGACCTGGTAGTTGCAAGGGGAGACCGTGCATGCAGACGCTCCTCCATGCTGCTGCGTTCCTGGAGTTCAAGCAGCACGTGGCGAGGCGATGCATTCTTGCCGCAGCAGTCCTTGGAAGACGCCAGAAATGGTTTTTGTACACCCCTCTGCGGCAAGCAGAGTTCCTCAGGGACATTGGCGGCCTGGCACATCGTATTATCCTGCGCTGTGTCATCACCCAAAGTTCGGGGAAACAACGAGTCATCGACAACGGTGACACCGGAGGACAATCAGACCTTTCTTCCGATGCCAATATGCTTACACCATGTAGTCGCACATAAGCCTGGTTATGCGTCGTTGGTCTGAGGACGAGGTCGCGGAGTTTTGTCACCATGATGCCTGGGAGACAGGCCAAGAGGACCTGCCGTCTGCCTACAGGTACTGCCCCATGTTACAGCAGGAGAGCTTAGGCTGCGTTGTCGTCTGGTTTCACTGATGAGTGGCAAACTCCGGTATACCAGGTCTATGCAGGCCTCTTGTTTAGGCTCCCCCTGGCAGTCACTTCGTTCAACTGATTTTCCAGACTGTTGGAAGCGCTGACCAGCCGGTATTGCCAAGTTTTGACATCCCTGTACTTTGATGCCGCGATCACTGACGTCCGCTCTGCCAAGGGCTCCGGGCAATGGGCGATGAACCAACTATGCCTGATGATCGGACCCCCATTTGCGGAAGACAAAACGCAGACCATGCTGAGCACTGGCGCTTCTCTGGGACTTACCCATGACCCGAGTTGCATCAATAAGACAGGTCATGTTCGTTTTTGGGCCCGCACCAGACTCCATGGCAAAGTTCGTGATTTCTTGCCACAGCACGTCAAGCAGGCCACTTTACTCGAGGCACAGCTTCCAAACTTTATGGACTTGCAAACTTCTTGGTGCAAGGTATTTCTGGGTGAGTCGGGTATGGCGGTCTCATGGCCATCAAGGCACGCAACTGGAGCTCTCTATGGTGTTGTGCGTCTTGATCGAGCGCCCCGACCTTTTTCGACATCGACATGGTCTTTGGTTCCTCGACAACGTTGCCGCAGTCATGACCTTGGTGAGAGGGCGCTCTAGCAATTCGGGGTTAGCAAAGCTCGGCCATTTGATCCATTTGGCTCTGTTTGCACTGCGTGCCCAGCACTTGAGGGTGCCCCACACTTGCCATGAATATGGATTGACTTTCAGTTTCCAAGTAGGGGTGATCCTACTTCTGGAAACCTGGATATTTGCGATTTCAGCAGCGCTGGCTGCTGCTGGTTTTGACTTCCCCAAGCAAGCTGGGTGTCGGCAGTGGGCACAGAAATGTGGGCGTTTGCTGTTTCAAGCAAGTTGGGTTTCAAGCAGGAGGTGATCCTGCTTGGTGTAGCCGTACTTGCTTTCGTGACATATATTGGGGTCCAAGCGGGGGTGATCCTATTTGATGGCGCCCAACACTTGCCATGAGTATTGCTTGAATTTTAAGGTTAATCTCAGTCTCAGCTCCAAGTAGGGGTGACCTGTTCCTGCAAACTTGAGTTTTTGCGTTTTCAGCGGAGCTGGAGGCTGTGGGTTTTGACTTCCCCAAGCCAGCTATGTTTCCAAGGCAACGCTACTTGAGGATGACAGGGGGAGTGACCACAGGGCTGTGGGCCTCTGAGTTCTCAAAAAGGTTGGGTTTCAAGCAGGAGGTAACCTGGTGTGGCCTTATTGCTTTCGTGGCATAGGTTTCGGGTCCAAGTGGGGGTGGTCCTACTTGAGGGTGCCGAACATCTGCCATGAATATGGCTTGAAATTTTAAGAACAATGTAGGGGTGATCCTACTTCTGGGCACCTTGGTTTTTGGCAATTCCAGCAGAGCTGGATGCTGTTGGTTATTTTGACTGCCCCAAGCAAGGTGGGTTTCCAAGTACAGGTAACGCTACTTGAGGATCACAGGTTGCCCACTGGCACTGCCAGAGAGTGACCACAGGGCTGTGGGCCTCCGCTGTCTTAAGCAGGTTGGGTTTCAAGCAGGAGGTAATCCTATTTGGTGTGGCCGCACTTGCTTTCGTGACATAGTTTTGGGGTCCAAGTGGGGGCGATCCTACGTTTTGGTGCCCAGCACTTGCCATGAATCTTAAGCGAATTTCGGCTACCAAGTAGGGGTGATCCTACTTCTGGTAACTTGGGATTTTTGCAACTTCAGCAGAACTGGAGGTTGTTGGGTCTGACTTCCCTCCAGGAAGCTGGGTTTCCACGTAGAGGTGACGCTACTTGCAGGCCACAGGTTGCCCATCGACACTGCCAGGCAGTGACCACAGGGTTGTGGGCCTCTGCTGTCTTAAGCAGGTTGGGTTCCAAGCAGGAGGTAATCCTACTTGGTGTGGCCTTACTTGCTCTAGCAACATAGGTCCGGCGTCCAAGTGGGGATGATCCTACTTGAGGGTGCCCAGCAGTTGCCATGAATATGGATGGAAATTGAAGCAAATTTCAGTTTCCAAATAGGGGTGATCCTACTTCTGGAAGCTGGATTTTTGCAAATTTCAGCAGAGCTGGGGGCTGTTGGTTTTTGACTTCCCCAAGCAAGCTGGGTGTCGGTAGTGAGCACAGAGATGTGGGCCTCTGTTGTCTTAAGCAGGTTGGGTTTCAAGTAGGGGGTAATCCTGCTTGGTGTGGCCTTTTTGCTTTAGTGACACATGTTCTGGGTCCAAGTGGGGGTGATCCTACTCGTTGGTGCCCAACACTTGCCATGAACGTGGCGTCAGTTTTTAAGCGAATTTTTGTTTCCAAGTAGGGGTGATCCTACTCGTGGAAACTTGGAGGTTTTCGTTTTCAGCGGAGCTGGAGGCTGTTGGTTTTGACTGCCCCAAGCAAGCTGGGTGTCGGCAGTGCGCACAGAAATGTGGGCGTTTGCTGTCTTAAGCAGGTTGGGTTCCAAGCAGGAGGTATGCCTACTTGGTGT